TTGCTTCTGCTCATCAGCTAGTGGATTGTAAAAGGATGTAAGAGGGAAAGAGGTAAAGAGGCATATCATTTCATGTACGATGAAAAATCCTGTTCATGCATGATATGTTTGAAGTTTCAAGCCGCGGCATCTTTTTCGATGGACACACAGCCCTCCGGTCTCAGCCCGGCCCTTCAGGGTGCGACCCTGAAGGGGCTTCTAAGCCGGCCACATTTGTCTGTGGCACCTCCCCCCGCCGTCGGCATAGGAAGCGTCCAGCCTAGGGGTGGGCAGGGAAACAATTTCTCATGCCCTAAAGGGGGATCTCGAACCTAAAACATCAGTTGCACAAACTTTAACAGTAACATGACAAGGTCATGAGCAAGTTCATGCATGATATGTTTGAGATTTCAAGCCGCAGCACCTTTTTCGATGGACACACGGCCCTCCGGTCTCAGCCCAGCCCTCCAGGGTGCGACCCTGAAGGGGCTTCTAAGCCGGCCACATTTGTCTGTGGCACCTCCCTCCTCCTGTCTTAGGAGTTCCACCGGCCGAAGAACTTGTGTCCCTTTCTCCTCTCTTCCTTCTTCTTCACCTTCTCACTTCTTCTCTTCTCCTTGAAGGCCTGCACCTCCTTGTAGAGCTGTTCGCTTTCCGGGAGTAGCTCTCCCACAACTTCCCACTTGCAGTTCTCCTCTGCGATCCTTCTCCTCCGCCAGCTCTCAAAGGCAACAAACTCCTCGTTGGTGAGGTCGTCTGCTCTCTGGTTGTCTTCTCTTCTTATCCACCTCAGGTCCGCTGTGGCCCCTTTCTTTCTCAGGGTTTCGCTGGATTCTATCACCAAAAGGGTGATGGGGAATTTCGTGGACATCCCTTTGTTCAGGATGAACTCATTGCCCTTGTTGTCGGTGAAGGCCTCCGCATGGACCCTCAGATGCCCTTCACTTTCAGGCATCCACAGCTTGATGGCCACCAGCATCGCCAGCATCTCCAACGCTGCAATAACCCTCTGTGGGTTTCCACTCCTCACCTTCAGCCACGGTGCCATCCAAGGCTCCACCTTCTCGGAGAACCACTGGCACTTCTTCATGTCATCCTCCGCCTATAGCCAGCCTCCAATCCATGCAGCCTCCTCTGTAGCCTTTGCGTCTGTCCAGATCCTCATTGTGCTGCTTTCAGTGGGGGCCTTTCCTCTCACCTCTTCCAACCTCTGGCCCTGTTGCAACTTCTTTGTGATCCACCTCATCACAAACAGCACCACCCATGGTACCCTAAGGAAGCCTTTCGTGCCCCACACCGCCGAGGACCACGAGAACAGGGGGCCCAGCCAAAGAAGGGCCAACGACGCAAAGCTAAGCCTTCCCAGGCCAGCCGCAAACTCCGCGTCAGTAACCTCCTTCCTGGCCTCCACTGACCTCATCCAGTCACACAACCATTGGGCCAACCCACATGCGTGATCCATCCTCCTCTTTGCTTCTTCCACTTGAAAGGGGCCCCTACCGCCCATCACCAGGAAGACCAAAACCGCCCCCAACCGCCCCTTTTTGCCAGGGGCAACCACCTCCAGATCATCTGCATAGAGGAGCATCTCCACAAAAAAATCCGGCCAAGGACATAGTGTGCAAAATGCACCAGCGCCCCGCTGAGCCTCGCCCACCAGTAAGGCGTGGACCCTATTCCAAATGTTCCAACGCGGATCACGTAGAGACGTAGATGATGTCCTCCTCGTCGGATGCCCTACATCCAAGGTACCCTCTTTCGCTTTCCTGGTGCAAGAACCGCCGGTGAGCCTTCTCGAAGTCGCCTACCAGTGCCATGACTCCTTCCCCTCTAGCTGAGAGTTCCTCCAATACCTTCCTCTTCCCCTTGGCCCTGGCATGCGAACTTTGTCCTTGCACCTGATCCGATTGTTCATGCCGATCTTGTTGGTGCCATCATGTATGACCCTCTTCTTTCCACTCGCCTCATCCTCCACGAGCACCGCTAAGGCGGCAATGGCCGTATGCTGTACATATTTCTCTTCAAACTGGGCCCCGCTCATCGTATCCATCAGGCCCGCTTCCACCTCCGATTCCAAGTGATCCCTCAAATGACCCTCATGCCGCGTTGCAGAGATGTAGTTGCCCTTGGCCAAATCCCACTGCATCGATGGGTCATCATCCAGGGCCCACTTGACCTGCTGCTCAAAAACTGCTGGTGTCCTCGGAAGCTCCTCCAAGACACCTAGGGGGCACCCTGTGCGGGCTCTCTGCAAAAACTGCCAATCACAGTCCCCTGCCTTCTCCAGGACGCCTTCCAAAAGCTTGAGGTAGAAGGGTTGCCCCGGCGCCACTTCGACTACTTCCCCCTCAATGCCAAGCTCCTCAATCAAGATCCTACTTCTGATCTCTTCCAAGAGACTTGCATCCCTCACTTCCAGAGGAGTCTCAGAACAGGGGGTGATGCTCTCAGCTGCACCTTGCCGCTTACCTGCTTTGGTATAGCCCAAGCTAATAACTGCGGGTTGAATACTTGAAGACATATGCACGTGCCACGCCTGGATGGCGAGCAACTCCCCAGTCGCAAAAGCGAGTAGAACCCTACGCAGAGTGAGAGCAAAATCGTGATGATCATGCAAAACAGACCAACCCACCATGGCTCTGAGGATGTTTTCGGTCATTGGTGGTGCGCGTGCTGGTATTTCATTCATGGTCCAAGTCTTCAACAACCTCCACGCCCCTGGGAGGCATCCTTTCAACTTGGGATCTTTGTCCTGGAGGCTAAAAAGGTGCTAGCTGCAGCGCGACCCTCCCCTTCAGCCGAGAGGAATTCTAGGTAATCTGAAATCAGGCCATCCATGGCCTCTCGCCGTTTTGGGAAGTCAACGCCTTCTCTTTCAAGAAAGGAGAAAAAGTCATCAAGCGATTTTTGATAAGTTTTGTCTTTGGTTGTACTGCAAGGTCGCTCAAAGCACCTATAGAGATTTGCGTGTCCGTTTGCGCTCTTCCTTGGTCCGGTCAAGTCTTGGTAACCTTACCTTTTTCGATCTTTTTCGCCATCTCTTTTTCACTGCACAGCGGGAAGGTTTATGCGCTGGGTTCTGGCGTGTGTGTGTGAAACATCTGAACAGATGTAAAACTTCTACTGTCACGTTTTCAATTCTGATTTTGGTATACGTTTTTTTCACGTGATTTCAAACAAAGAAATTTCGACATTTGTGTATGCCTTCCTGGTTTCGCCAACATTATTTCACGTTATTTCAAGCAGCGGGCCACGGTTCCATTCATCAGTCCGTGGCCAACGAAGCTACTGATGTTTGGAGAGGATATGCAGTCTGATCAACTGCACGTACCTGCTATCATTCTCATTTACACTTCAATTTCGAAAATGGGACGTGGCTAACCCAAAGACCACCATGCCGCTAGGAAGATCACGATTTGACTTAGTTTGAATGAGCTGCATCTGAACAACTTGATTCTTTTTGCAAGGACATTGAAAGCTTTTCTTCGCACAGTTTCTCACTCCTGGTCATCCATTTTCTCCTGTCAGGTTTAACTGAAGTGTTTTTGCACGTAAGATGCATTCCACATCAGAATTCGCAAAGATGTTTCTGAGCAAGTGTGTGATTCATGCTGGATTCGTCAGGGTGGCATGAACCCTTCGGGGAATGCTTGCCTAAGCAAAGAATTGACACTTTGAAACGACCTCTGAATTTACACTTTTGAAGTAGTAATTCGTTTTAAGTAAAGTGAAACTGCCGGCCATTTTTCATTGTCTCACTCGTCGGTCGAATGAGTGTTGAACAGCGTGCCGCTGTGCCTGGCTTCACCTTGGTTTGAGAGACTGCATTTCCGGAGTAGCCTGCTGAAAGCCACGACAACAATTCCTTTTCCAACTTTGCCCAAGAGAGTACGGAGCTCGACAATTTCACATTATTTCACATGATCAGGAAAGGCGTCAGGACATGCTTGCAGGTTTGGTGATTCTTTCTCTTTATGGTCGTTGGTGAGGTTCAATTGTGCACGTAATTCAGGGGTTGACGACTTCAGCCGTTTACAGGGTTGTGAAATGAAAGCAGAGGGCCTTCGAGCCTTATCACGAATTTTGCATGCAATGTGGATGCATCATGTGAAGGTTTTTGTTTACTAGATTCCTAAACCTGACACTGTCGCCATGTTTCCTGGACGCTTTCCCAACGTCCCTGAATCGATGTGGAACTAACTTTGGATGGAACCCGGAGACTATGGGACTTCAAGACTTCAAGGTCAATTTTGCGGAGGTGACCTGATGAATCAGCAGTCTCAAGCCCAGTCTCAAGCTCAGACTCAGGCACAGATTGCAGCTCTACGTGAGCAAAACGCCATACTCAATCAACAGCTCAACTCACAAGCTCAATCCCATATCCAACATCTCCAGCAGCTCATTCCTTCCACCAACCTCCTCAACCGGTTCAGGCTCCATCCATTCCACCCACTGTCACAATCGTCAGGACCTCAGGCACCAGAAACACCAACACCGGTGATATTGCAGCCACACAATCCGGACCTACTCCATCCTTCAATTTCGGATGAGATGTTACAACAGATGAAACACACTGTTGAAACTGTTGAATCCAGTCTTCACGCACTGGTGGAAAAGACTCAAGAGCGTCAAGCCAACCAACCACCGACACCACATCCACCAGTTCCCATGCTTCCACACAACCTCAGTCAACATCCACCACCTGTTGAACACCCACTACCACGACAACGCTCCTCCCGCAGATCTCGCTCTCATCGCCACCACTCACCATCACGGAGACATGACAAACGTCCGATCTCCATTCCCCGAACTCCTCGTCGTCGACGCTCACCCAGACGATCCCGTCGCTCATCACGACCTCGATCCTCCTCCAGGGAGCTTTCCATTCACAGGCATGAATCTCGGCAACCAGGCCGAGGACAATCCATCACTCTCCGCTCCGCTTCTCCGCGACATCGAGAAGAACGACATCGAACCCAGGACCACCAACAACCACGAGAACAACCCCACCAGACGGCGACTCTTCAAGCGGCATCGTGGGGGCAAAACCCACAGCCTACATCCCACACTGATCCCCAAACACGTTCCTACCATCACGGACACTCGTCCACCGACAAGTGGCAGTCATGGGGACAGTGGAAGGACTATTCCAAATACTCAGGCTCATCCACCAAGTGGACTGACTACTCACAACCTTCACACACACACACAGCCACCACACTCCACATGACTCGTCCACCAAACCACTTACGGCATTCTCCTCCGACCACACTACACGATCACTCCGCCACAAGCAGAAAAAACCTGCAAAATCGGGGGACGACCAACCCCCTACTCCAGTCAACGTCCCTCCTGGACATATGGTCATCAGCCTACAAGAAGGATCGAAAGAAGAGTGGATCCGTGGAGTCAAGTTCGCCTTGCGCCATCCTGACCGCATGCCAGCAGCCTCAGAAATAGCACCGGAGCAGAAACCTCAACCACTGCAGACGATGGATATCAAGGACTTCGATCGTGCAGTGGAGATCTTAAAACAGGTTGACACACGCATTCCTTCGGACGTCATCCAAAAAGCGGTCCAGCTCCTCTTCAGCACATACCTCCTCCCGGACTACGACCTGCGGAAGTCCTACATCATAGAACTACCTTCCACCAACATGCTTGCACTAATACTTCCACTTCCTGACTCCAGTCACTTTTCAAATGCCACCTCCATTCCGCAAACATCAGAACCACACCTGGGCACTTCTCCACGGGACGACGCTCCGAACCTCACAGCTCATCCTACTTGAGGGCAAGATCAGACCGGCCAACTGGTCACACAACAAAAACTTCCAACGGTGCGACATGCCCACCTTTGGGGCCTTCTACCTCGGCAGAGAAGTCTCCAATAGCGACAAGACCTTTCCTGATTGGGCGGCCAAAGAGTTTATGGACACCATCCAAAAGACAGGAAAAGGACAACAGGATGTCGTCCTTGGGCCGATGTATCGAGGTGCATGCCAACACACTTTCAAAGCTGGTGGCAATGAAATGGCACAGCTCTCCGTGGCTGAAAAAGGATTGGCAACAACGTCGGAGAAATACACGATTGCCGATTGCCCACAGCAATCATGTTGGGTTAAGTTCATCGCCCTGAAGTGGCAGAACTTGCAAGACCACATCGACGTGGAAGAATCGTCCTCAGATACCGTAACTGCAACTACCGCAGCATCAGGCCACGGACTAAGGATCGACACTCAGGTCGTTGATAGGACCAACAGCCGTCAGCAATTTTGCCGCTGTGTATCATTAGATCTTTTCGGCACCACCCGGAAACCAGAGTTGACATTTCATGACATTTCTAGGGCAACCTGGACCAGCTTTTGATCAAAAAAGTGCGGTAGCCTCAATCTGCAACTGACATTTTTTCACATTCAGTTTACATGGTCGATTCATGTCTAGTTGCACCATATTGAGCTATTCCAAATTAAGCTGTGGGGACTTTCGTTGTTTCATTGTGGACACGATGCGACACACTTGATCTCCAGGGTCCTACTTGTTGTTTACATTCTACCTGATGTTGTCAATGCACTGCATTTGATTTGTCGATTGTTGCCTTCTTCGATTCATTTTATTTCTCCCTTCCATTCTTCATGTATCATTGCAACTGATTCCGCTGTAGTTTTGTTGCGTTCTCAACAGCTCAACGTGACTCTTGTTGTGACCCATCATGGCTGACTCGGATCGATCCAGGTCACCAATGCCGGGACGCAACCGATCTGAGCCTCGTGGACAAGCTCAGCCAGCGCGTCAAGACCTGCCGTTCTTTCCTCAATGGTGCGGGCCCATGCAAGCTGCGATCTTGCATTCACAGAATATGCCACGCCCTCAGTTTCGACCTCAGTGGGCACTGAACCAGTCTGGACCTTATATGATGGGAAGAATGATGAATCAAACTCCACCCATGACGCAGGGCACTTGGTCCGGTCATCGGTTTCCACCAGCACCTCCATCGTCACCTCCACCAACGTTACCATATCCTGCACCTGCTCGTCCAGCAACTCCACCATGCTCACCAACTTTGCCATGTCCACCAACACAACCATGCTCTCCGAGCACTCCATCAGTCCCTTTGTCTCAGCCTCGTCCATTTGAGACTCCTCACTCTACCTCACCAGGCGGTCCAGAATATCATGAAGCTAACCGCACCTACGGGTTCGATCTCAATCCTCATTGGCAAGAGGATAAAGACTACGACAATCAGAAAGTCAACGGTCTGACGTTCCCACGTAGCATTCGTCAATCGGCTTTTACTCAAAAGTTGGACATCGAAGGGTGTGATCCTTTACACTTACCAGTGGCAGCTTTGCTGAATCAACAAGCCAACAACTTCTGGCTTCGGAAGCTGGCTCATGGTCGTGAACTCTACCTGATCCCTACAGGGGACATCGCAGCAGTTGTTTTCATGACAGAACTCTTGACGCAGCTCAGAAACAAAGGAGTCGACCTGGACAAAGTCTCCCACTCTCGGGCTCGGCA